TAAAACATGGAATCTCTCATTTGAATTTTTTAAAATTTTCGGAATTTTTTAGTTACCGATTATTATTTTATAAAAAATAGTATCAAATTTCGAGCTCGAGCCGAGTTCGAGCCAACACTTTTCTGTATGCGAGCTGGCTCGTTCGGAGCTTTATGATGGACATAAAAAAACTACCCAGAATTTTGGCTATTGTTCAAATAATTTCAAGTATAATTTCGGCAATTAATAAAGTTAATTTCAGCAACTATGAAAAACTATTTTGGCATTTCAGAATTGGTAATGATCATTTATCAAGTGAAGTAATTTCAGCTAACACCTTTAGTATTTATATCTTCAAGCATTTATATATTTACCCCAGATAAATTTGTTCATTAACATTTATTTGTTGTATAATGTCTAAATTTTGAGTGGGGTGTTTGGATACAAAAATTCTGATTGGCTAATTTAAATTTCATGAGCGTGAATTTCAAATTGACACAGATTTCAATTTTTAAACCTACAATAAACTGACTTTTCTTTTTAAGTGTAAAGGCGCATTGCCACCAAAAAAAAAAATGAACTGATTTACTTTCTCATTGTTGAAATTGAAAATGTAAAGGTTATTTTTGGCTTCACTAAAAAAAACAGGTTTCTTTATTGTTAAAAAATTAATCAAGGTTTTTTTAAAATGTAAAGTTACTGAAAACAGACAGAAATATTTTTTTTGGAATCGAAAATTAAAAAACAATAAAACTTATGTTTCTTCCACTAAATTTTATTTATAAATTTCAAAAAAGAAAGCTACATATATAAGAAGGGGATTTTTCGATATCAACAGTCACAGGACATGTCACGCAGATCAATAGCAGTCGCAGGACATTGCGGATATACGGGGGTCAAGTGTCACTCACTATGCATGCATGATGTGTAAATACAATTCGAATCATTATTAAAGAATGTAATGTTAGAAGACACAATGTTGGTAAAATCATGCAATTCAATAATTCCAGAGAGCATAATATTTGGTATATTTTTCCCAAAGATGAATACAATCGTACCCTTGGATAATCTTTTATATCTGAGGTATAAATCCATGAAAAGCTTTAAAACAGAGCCATGTGTAGCCTCCATACACACTTTAAAATCACTGCCATTCATTTTTTGTTTAATTTTGTAAATAGATATCCAGATAAGAGAAACCAACAATGGAAGTATTATTGCTTCAAATAGTGAAGTAAATACTAGAACCACTTTTACCAAACTATTAATAGAAGCAGGATTTTCGCCTATCCTTAAAATATGTCTTCCTTGGCCAATAGTCTCAAGTTCCCACATGATTTTAAAGTATCTATCAACCTCTCCGAAATGGTTTTTAATTAAAGTTTATGTTATTCGTAATGACTTTATCAGTACATATGTAAACTCGATAAGTCGGTCACTCGATAAGTCGGTTTACTCGATAAGTCGGCCAAAATTTTCACCCCATTTTCTTAATATTTAAGTAATTTAATTCGATAAGTCGGTTTACTCGATAAGTCGGTCATATGAGCTCACCCCCACATGACCGACTTATCGAGTTTACATATGTATGTACCATATTCAATGATGTGCGAGAATTACCGAAATTATAATTAAAAACTAATTAAAATTAGCAAAAACCTAAACTAAGATAAAAAAATATCAAATATCAAATCTCTTCGAGAAACTTGGGTCTTTAAGGCACTTTAAATAACTGGATTTTAATTTATTGTATATTAATAATTAATCATACTAATTTGTCAATATGCAAAATATTGTTGCGGCACATAACCAAATTCATCATTCTAAATATTTTTAGGTTCAACTAACTGGTTAAGTATATAATAACAAAGAAATTTTTTTTAATTTTGAGCGGAGATTAATAAAAAGCAAACAGCTATATAATTTATGATTTTAATAATGCCTTATAAGTATATACTACTAAAATATTTCAGTGATACGTATTGTTTTTTCTGTACAAATATATTATTAATAAATGCACGTGAAAGATATAATACCGTTATGATGTATTAAATTGTATAACCGCAAATAAAAAATATTAATCAATTGGAAATTACTATCCATTACTAATAATATTAATTAATTAATTAATTAAGATTAGATTCTAGTAAAAGAAAGAATTGATTGATTGATAAATGACTAATTTAATCTACACTACATTTATCTTTTTTATTTTACCCTTATCTTGTTTCTTAAAGCTAAATTATAATAATAATAAACTTTTTTTATAGTTTTTGATTTTTGTTAAATGGTGATATTGCGAGGTTAATTAACAATCATGACTTAACTTCTGGGCTACTCTTGTCAGTTAATTGCAAATAATTTGATACTTGTCAATTAATTAGTTTACGAATTTACTTTGGTTCCCTCTTTCTTGTACCTAGACGAATCTGTGAGCACACTTAATGGTAATACTATAAAGTTCCCTTTTATTCACTTGTAATTGATTTTTTATTTCAGTCGTTTACTGCAAATTCGCTTTGGTTTATTTGCAAAACAACTCAAGTAGCTTGTTTAACGGCTTTACATTTACGATTACAATAATACCGATTAACCTTTGGACAATATTTCATTGACACTCACTAGTTAACTTAACCTTGCTTGCTCACTAAAGCAAATAAACGTGGCTTTTTATCAAAACCACACAATTGTTACCTTTTACCAAGGCACTAACTACACCTGTTGCTTTTATCAACAAAGAAAATAAAGATATCGGTTTATTTTTATTTTTATCTTTATTTTTATTTGATTAACGATTAATTTTATTTAATAAAAATAATTCTATCACAGAGTTTTATTCTATAATAATGTTAATTATCTATTATTTTCCTCTGCGAGGATCCCAAGTTATGCTTTTTCAAGCGAAGACTAGAAGTTATCCTTTTATGAAAATTTCGTTGATCACTACAATAATGATAAGGATAAAGACGAAGATGGGTTTATTATTGCAAAGTAACTTGATCAATCAATATTGATATTATAAAAAATTATTTACGCGGTAATTTGATAATAATTATAAAATGCTTTTGCGTAAACTAAAATTAGTTGACCCTGGAACATAAAGTACCGGATTACTGATCAATACCCCGATCGTGTATCTCGTTATTAATAGTTTAGTAGTGTGAGAACTGAAATTTACATTCAGCAAAAGAAAAAATTGGCTCCTTGAGAGTAGCTGATGAAACAAAGGATACTCGAGAAAAGGCCTTGAAATATATACAATATTTATATGTTTTTTGTGAGCTTTTATATTTTATTAGTCTTTAAAGCAATTTTACTTATGTCATTTTTGACTTAATGATAGCGAATTTGACGTAATAGTTTTACAACCTTGGTAACATTTCGTGAAACAAAATTTGTGTAATAATGAAATAAATATGGGTAATGTTGCTGCCGTTAGAGTTTCTAGCTGCTCTACCGAGTATCAATCCATGCCTTTTCTTTTGAGTGAGCTTGGGTTGAACTTATAACTAGAATTTCTATTCGTAATACGAATTCGTATTCAGATTATTCATAATACAATTCAAATATTTATTCATTTTATTCGTATTATTTGTTTTATTCGGATAAACATTCAATGTAATTTGAATACTTAAATTCATAACGAAATAATTCTTATTCGAATAGAAATCCTACTATGACTATTTGCTAGCAGAAAAAAACTTACTACTATTATTATTATTACTACAAGGACTATAAAGGAAAAATAGAACTAATAAAGAAAAATTTTTTTAATTGGATTTGGATACTCATATATTAACTATTAATATTGCTATCGGATATTAAAAAAATTTCGTGTGATTAAATTAACCGGCTAAACATTAATCCCGTTTTCTAAAATTACGTGCTAATTCTGGTTAATAGCGAATTAAATTCAAATCCAAAAAAGGATATTTTTAACAAGTCACCATAAATCTATTGCCTAAACAGAAAATACCACCAATCAGCTTTCGTTGGCGCTTAATTTGGCGTACAATGGCTGATAGCGCAATAAAGGCAATTTCCACATTGTTGATCAGTTATAACCAATAAAAATTTTGCGCTAACTATATATATATATATTAATTAGTTGTAATATAGTGTTTTCTCGATCATCTACTTATTTTTGCACTAGCAGATTTTGATCATAATTGGTATTACTAAATAAATTATTATTTCATTGCATTCTTGAAAATTTTTTTTTAAAATTTTTAGAAATGAACATGGAAGTCGTCAAAGAAATTTTAAAAGTTATTGGAATTATTGTTTTGATTTATTTATTTAAAGCAGTCCATAACGTATGTGTTTGCATTCGTAGCATTTGTAGATTGATTTGATAATGAAAAATTTTGATAAAAATTCTCTAAAAAAATAATTACCTCAGATTATATATATAGCATATTTTGGACCATTAAGTAAACTTCCAGGTCCAAAATTATTTTTCTTGTCAAGGTTATTTATATCTTTTCAACAATTTACCGGTAAAAGGTATGTGTGCACATAGATATAGGTATAGAATGATGTAGATTTCTAAATTTGATATGGTGTAAAAATCAAAGCAATTAATTTTTTTTAAAACGACGAATAATAATACATAATAAAGATGGGAATTCATACAATTTAAAATAATTCCAAAATATGGTAGAATAGTTAGGCTTGGACCAGAACTTGTCTTAATCGCAGATAAGGATTTAATTAAAGATGTAAGTAAATATCTCTTTTATTAGCGAGTAATATATATATTAATATTACATTAATTGATTTTTCCAAATTTTGTAAATAGATGGTTGTAACAAGTGTAAGTAGCATTTCTTTCTCTCTCCTCGAAATCTTTTGGATTAATTGATCACTCGATCGATTATTGATTAATTTTATTATATAGGAATTTCCAAAAAGCAGAAACTATCTGAGAATTCGGGCGGATTCCAGCAGCGAGACTTTATTTTCTACAATGTAAATTATATATATTAATAATGCTTTATAAAATAAAAAAAGATAAACTAATCAATCTCTATATGCTAATAATCATGATGGGTGAAAGTGACAAGAAATTTCACAAACAACGCGTAAGTTTAAAAATACAAATATTTGCTAATTTACAAATTGCTAACCAATCAACTAATCTTTAATTGCAAATTTATAGCGTAGAACTTTATCACCAGCATTTTCTATAAAGTACATGTCATCACTTGAACCATTGATGGAAACTTGTATTAAAGATCTAATAATTAAAGTTGATGAATTGATTGATAATGATAATTATGATAACAAGGAGAAATTTGATGATGATAATAATGATGACAGGTCAAATGCAAATGCAGCGGCAACTTTTAATATTCTTAGATTAGTTCAAAGTTGTGCTATTGTGAGTAATCGATCCAAATACACCTGTGTGTATTTATGTATACTCCATTCATATATCGGTAACATTTATTTATTTTACAGGATATAATCGGAGAGACGTCGTTTGGTGGTAAATTTGATGGTATAAAAACTGTTAATCATCCTTTACCAGGCAAAGTTTGGTTAGAATTACGTAGAAGAATTTTGGTAAATTTATTATTATTTTCTTTTTACCGATAATCAAAATGTTCAATTAATAAATTTTATTATTTTATTAGAGATCAATGCTTCCATTATTAAAACCATTTTTTAGAATGGATCCTTATTTAAAAGAGGTATTTCCTACGCACACATATATATATACAAGAAAGCACGCGCTTGATAAATAACGAACGTTTTTTTTTTTCATAGTTTTCAGATTCATTGATTAAAAAAAGAATGAAAGAAAAACCAAAAAAAGACATATTACAATTTATTGTTGACGCGGCAAATGATGAAAACAACGAAAATAAAATGACGGATTTTGAAATATTTGATCAAATATTTGAATTTTTGTACGAGTTTTATATATATACTATACTATAAATGTAAATGTATGCATTAGTATGTATTAAGTATAATTATATGTGTTTACAAATAGAATTGCAGGAAGTGATACAGTTTCATTCACGACTTCAATGGCAATAATATTATTGGCAAGACATCCTGAAAAACTAAACAAACTTTACAATGAAATCAAGGCTTCAAATAAAAGTAAAGATATCGATGATGGATATTATGATGGTGAGAATGGGGCGTTACTTAAACATGAGCAACTTAAAGGGTTACCGTATCTGAACGCTGTTATTCATGAAACCATGAGATTATGGCCTGTAGTTTTGGTAATATGTTTACCTTTATATGAATCAATTATTAATTGTTTTTACAAGAAAGTTATTAATTATATTAATGATAATTATTATTAATGTTTAGGATGGCGGTAAGAATATTAAATGATTTTAATTTTAATTTTAATTTTAATTTTAATAGTAAAGTATTAATTATCATTACCATTTAAAGGAATCGGTAGGGCACCAACTGAAGATATCATTGTTAAAGGATATTTAATACCAAAGGATGTATGTTGATTATTTTTTTGAAAAAATTAATATTTTTTTCAAAGTTACATTACTAAATCTTATTTTCTCTTTTCTCTTCGAAAATAAAAAAGACAAATTTAATGATAAATTATTATACGCTGCATCACGATCCTGAATATTGGGGAGCAGATGTGGAAAATTTTATTCCTGAAAGATGGTTCGATATTGACAAATTACCAAAGGACTCGTTTTATCCATTTTCTGCAGGTAAATTAAATTCTTGTGCAAAATTAAAAAACCACTTCACTTTTCATCCCTTTGTACCATCCTATAATAATATGTAATATACCCCTGCATCTTTAACAATAAATTTTTGTTTATCTTAGGTGCGAGAAATTGTATTGGACAAAAGTAAGTATTTGTTTTTCGTTTAATTTATTGTGTGAATCTAATCTAAAAATTTTTAACCTTTCTTTTAAACAATTATATTGCAGTTTTGCAATGATGGAAATGAGATTAATCATTGGCTCGTTGATTTATAAATATGATATAGAAAATTTACCAAATCAAAATATCGACATTGTACACTATTTTACACCAATGCCAAGAGACCAATGTTATCAATTAAAGTTTCGTAAACGCCAACAGACGCAACGCGTAAATGAATGATTGAATTTCATATTAGTGTAATAATTGAATATCGGTAGTTTTTTTTTTGTTTGTTTTTTGCTACATTAGTATCATTATTGTATGCGGAATAGCGTTTTTTAAATGTTTACTACTGTTTTGTCATGCCACTCATAGATAATTAAAGTAACAAACAACAAACAATAGCTATTATAAATAAAAACAAATTATTCGTTGACATGATTATTTTTTAAGTTTATATTAATTTAATAATTTAAAAAAAAACTTATAAAAAGATCGTAAAAAGTTTGTCGTCAAAAGAAATCAATTATCTCATTCTTGTGAAATAAATAAATAAAATTTAATTTTACAAATAAAATAATAAATCATCCATCTCTCACGAAAATGAAATTTTCCGCATCAAAAGTTTTTCTAGTTACTTTACTCGCTTTCACAACTTTCCTCTTATTTGCTGATGCAGAATCATTTCAACATAAAAATGGAGTAGATGCTAAAGCATTATTCGAAAAATTCAAAAAATTCACAACAAATACACCTTGCAAACCAAACGACGTTGCTTGTATTGGTGGAAATTTTGCAAAATGTCACGAAACATTAGACAATGATGGCAAAGTAGTAAATACTTGGGCAATTTCTCAATGTGCAAAAGGAACAAATTGTTACCCATTACCTTTGGTTTTCTCTCCAGGAGTTTCTCTTGTTTGTGGTGTGTAAAAAAACAATTTCTTTTTTTCATTTGATTTTTTATTTTATTTTTTTGATTTCATTAAAAATTAATTATTATTATTATAGATACTCGAGAAGATTTCGATCGACGTATCAAAGAAGCCTTGGCCTCCTAATTTATTTTTAATTTTTCCATGTATATTATAGTATAGAATAATAATATATTCCGTTGAAAAGTTTCTTAATTAATAAAAATCTCATTACATCAAGAAATCTTTTTACTATTTGCAGCGACTTTTGAACCGTCAGTAAATAATAACCAGTTCAAAGAAACATTTGATCTAATTATTTAAATAGTAATCTTTTATTGCCACATATGATCCTCCTATCTGCTTTTAAGTTAGTTGTTCATCCATGGGCGGAATTGATAAATTTTTATAAAATGTACTATTTTATTATAAACTTTTGATAACGTCATTTGAAAAAATGGTACGCAAATGCTGCCCTTTCTTGTATTCACAACAAATTGATTACCTTTGAATGATCGGCAAAGTTATTTAACCAATTAACGAACGGCTCAAAAGTTCAAATATTTCAAACACTGATATTTGGTGACTTAATCGGAGATCGTGTTTCGTTTTAGCTACGTCCACGGTGGATTATTTGCTTCCTAACAATAATAACAATAATGATTGTATGAAATCATATTTAAGATGGCCGTGTTAGATGTATATACAGATTGTAATCAAGTGACAATAGAGATAACAATACAAACAAAATCTATGTGTTAGAACTGGTTAAAGTATTTTATTAATATTAATATTATTACTATATATATGGTTTGCGACCTCCTATTGCTGCGCCATATAGACAATTTCGAAAAATAACAATTTTATCAAATTATTATAATTCGTTATTCGAATTGTCTTCATTCATTTATTACTCGAATCATCATTTAACTATCGATTGAATTATTTATTTTATTTGTTTATTTGTCTTATTTGAATTATCTGCTCATTCGTTTTATTTGAATTATTGAATTATCAAATCATTCACTATTCATTTTATTCGAATACCCAAATTCATAGCGAGTAAAACAAATAATTTGAATGAACTCTATTCAAATAGAAACCTAATCAAGCAGTATAGTTTTATATAGTGATTTTAATTTAGTTTGCCATATTCGATGACTCCAATAACTCGGATCACATGCTTGCAATATTTATTACTTTAGGGTGTCAATACTGAATTGTTGTAGTTCAAATAAAATTTAGATAAATCTAAGTAATATTAATATTATCATTCGTTATTCGAATTGTCGTCATTCGAATTATCGTTATTCGTTTATTCAAATTGTTATCATTCGTTTTATTTGAATTATTATCATTCGTTTATTATTCGAATTATAATCGCTCGTTTATTTGAATTGCTATCATTCGTTTACTCAAATTGTTGTTATTATTATTATCATTCGTTTATTCTTTTTACTCGCTCATTTTAATCAAATTATTCGAAATATTCGAATTGTTCATTTTATTTCGAACTATTCATTTATTCGTTTATTTAAACTATTCGAATTATTTCGTTTATTCGAATTATTTTATTTATTCATTTTATTCGAACTATTCATTTTATTCGTTTATTCGTTTTATTTAAACTATTGATTAAATTATTTTATTTTATTTGTTTATATGTCTTATTTGAATTATCTGCTCATTCGTTTTATTTGAATCATCGAATTATCGAATCATTCATTATTCATTTTATTCGAATAAATTTTCAATGTAATTCGAATACCCAAATTCATAGCGAGTAAAACGAACTCTATTTAAATAGAAACCTAACCAAGTAGTATAGTTTTATATAGTGATTTTAATTTAATTTGCCATATTTGGTGACTCCAATAACTCAGATCTCATGCAATATTTATTACAGTTTTGTGGCTGAAAAAAATTCTTTAAAAAAAAATTTTTTTTGACAAATTATACAAAATCATAATGGAAAACACTTTGGATGAAAATAAACATCATGATGATACTTCTACTGATGAAAATGATAAATATTTTGATGAAATATATGAATGGTATGGGGAATGCCCAACCTGCAATAGATATAATACTAATAATTCATGGTGTCAATCATGCAACCCAAAGTTATTAACCGAAGGATGGACTAGTGGCAATGAAACATTAGATGAGCTGATTAAAAGTACACAACTTGAGGCAACAGGATATGGTAATGATTATTATCTTCAATGGATTCCTTATAATGATTTAACAAATATTGAAAAGATTGGTGAAGGTGGGT